ATGGGCAATAAGGAGAGACTTTTGGCTCTGATTCTTAAATCATTTGCACAATAACAAAATAACTATGAAATTCATTTATGATTTTTAAAACAACAATAATTCATACCCCTAAAAAAAATCACTAATAGCACTAATGCATTGAGAATGTTTAATAAAAAAATAAAAAAATAAAAATAAAAATAAGACATAGATAGTGGCCGGGGCCCACTGTCACATCATTAGTGGTGCTATGAAAACACCACTTTTAGTGCTCTCAACTATTTTTCTTTTTAAAATATGTATTTTGGGTCATTTTAGTTCATAAAGTTATAATTTTATCGATTTCATACCTCAATAGTACTTATAATGTTATATTGTTGCCTTTTCTTCATCTTCATCAATCTTTAGTGATCAAAATAATAAAATTAAAAATTTTAAGAATTAAAGTGATACAAAACTCAAATTTCAAAAATCATAAATGCATTTCATTTACAATTACATTAATGCTTTAGATCTGACTCAAATATGAAACCTTTAAAAATGGCTAAATTAATATAAAACGCATATTTTAAAGACTGTGAAACCTACCATATTAAAAATCCAAAAAAAAGGGCAGAGAGAAATGGAATCTTCTCCCATTTAAAACTTCTTCCTTATTTATTCGCAAAGCAAGGTATCTATTGATTGAAGAAGTAGCTGAGGCGCTAGGAAACTGAAAGGAATTTATTAGGGAGACAAGCAAAACTATCTTTACCTCTTTTGTTTTGTTTTGTTTCGTTTTGTTTTGTGTTATAACGTGCTAGGTTTGGTGTCTGGTGAAGTGTAAGGATCATCTGTCCCTAAATAATTCTCTCTCACGGTATCAATTCATGCACAATCATTAGATATGTTTTGAGATTTTCATATCTTGGGATTCTCATATGATCCAATGGGATAGGAGGACAAGGTTATTTGGGGACAGGAAATCCTTGCATGTCTGGTGAATTAGAGAGTTACTTTTAAAAATTGAAATCTCTCTCACACACACGTCCTCAGTTACATTCACAACCGGTTGTGAACTTTGTGAAATTTCTCTCTATTCTACTTATTTTATAATAATGGCATACAAACAAACAAACAAATTAAGAGTGTGCGTGGTGCGGTTCGAGCGATTTCAGAGTAAAATTACAAATCGAATAGCGGGTTAGTGAATTAGCGGATTGACAAATTACGGTTTGAGCAACTTTTCGCGGATTGGTGGATTGAAAAATATTTTAACTAATTATCATATATTTACATAATATATAACACTAACTTGTACATTATTTTTTATATATATAACACAAAGTAATTTTACATAATATGTTTCATATATATAACTACTAATTTGTAATAAATTTCATATCTTAAATCTCTATCACGTGTATTTTTACATTGATATTTTATTGGAAGTTAAAAATATATATGTATTAACTATAGCAGGGCAAAACGATTTAGAAAGCGAATTATAAATTTTAAAGTTTAAATTGCGATTAACAATTAGAACAATACGAATCAATACAATTTTAACAAATTAGACGAAATTTTGCATTGCCTAAAAACAAACTCACCTACATCCATGTATGACTTGACTGCCCAAGCCAACACCATGTGGATGAGTTCAATTGTGTTCGTCACTCAGGGGACTTTTGGAAAGTGGGTTATAATTCACTTTCCAGATTATAACATACTTTCCTCTTTAAAAAAAAAAATTGATTATAATCAGCTTATAATTAGCTTTTAATCAAAAAGTTGATTATAACTATCTTTCCAAAATAGCCCTAAATTGTGTTTGTCCACTCTTACTCAATTTTTTTATTTTTAAATGGGATTGTTTGGGCTATCCTTAGGCCTCGTTTAGAAACATGTTTTTTTAGTAACTTTTTAGATTTTTGGCTAAAATATGATGTAAAAAAAATTAATATGTTTGGAATGACTTTTTGATTTTTTACGAAAAGAAGTGCAAAAAGTAGATAGAAAAGAGAATCTTTGACTTTTTGGTATAAGTTGTTGACTTTTTGGATTTTTTTAGTAACTTTTTGCTGGTGTTTGGGAACTTGGGTTTGGGATTTTTTTTTTTGATTTTTTCCACTAAAAGACAAAATTTTACAAAATCAAAAAAAACACATCCAAACAAAATATCACATCCAACCCCATAATCATTTCACTTTTTCTCTCACAAACATCACATCCAACCACAAAAAAAACCCAACTATCTTCTCAAACACTAAAAGAATTTTATCCAATAATATCATACAACTGAAAAAAACCTAAATAAAAACCCACTTCCCAAACACCCACTTTGGCTTTTTGGCTAAAAAAGTCACTTGCCAAACGAGGCCTAAATAAATGCACTTTTTGACTTTTTAGACTAAAAAATTTAGGAAAAAAATATAGTTGTTTGGGTTAATTTTTTAATTTTTTACGAAAAAATGTATATTAAAAAATTGTATAAATTAGTGTGTAGGGGAAGATAAGGATTGTAAGTTGTACAGTCGTACCGTTTGCGCAGGCTGAATTGATGCTAAGAAATGCTTGCCTACTTTTTGGACATTGTATTGGATGGTACTGTTCAACCTGTGGGGGTCATCACGGGTCCCACTTTGATAATCTGAACCGTTCAATGTGTAGAACTCGTCAAATACTATATGTCTATAAAAAATCACGTTGATCAGATATCGATAGCTATCTGATTGAATTAGGTTTTTTTTTCAACCGTTAACTATAACACTATCTATTTTTTTATACAAAACTGATTTGATCATATAGTTAGCAATATCCGATCAATGTAATTTTTTACAGACATAAAGTAATCGACAAATTCTATACATTGACGGTTTAGATTATCAAAACGAGACCCGTGATAGGCTCTCATCGACCGAACATCACTGTCTTGTGTAAAATTGTTGTGCATCTGTGTGTAATTTGTACCGGGACAGACCCATCACTATGTCATACCTTATGACTTGTACTTTGCATCAATAAATTTATTTTTTTATATTTTTAATTTGTGAATAGTGGTAACTTTTTTACTTTTTTAATAACTTTTTAACTTTTTGTTTTTTTTAAGACGTACCAAACCAACCTGAAGTCTTAAGCATTGCCTGGCTAAAAACTTAAGCCTAGCTCAAGTGGTTATCAGAGTTTTAGATTTCGTTTGGAAATAACATATTTTAGTAATTTTAATTTTTTAATAAAAAAATAAAAAGAATAATGTGATAACTTATAAATTTGTTAATATTTTACTTTCAATCACATCAAAAAAAAATTTCAATAATACTATAAGAAGAAAAAAAATATGATCATTTATGATTATTGATTGGGGCTGAGCTCCTCTCCAATTTGAATATTAGCCGATGCTCACCAAGTCGACATTCTTGAATAAATTAGTGATTCACAAAAAATTCATACATAATTTTAAATTCTAATATATAATGGTGTGGTTCATTATGAATCAATCGTTTTAAAATAAAACATCGTTAAAGATACATTTATTTACAATAATAATATTATCACATTATTTTTGTGGAGTTTTTTTATTTAAATTTTATGTTTGAATAAATTTTTTTTTTTAATATTTAATAGGTCAATGAATAGACAAAATCTAAACATTTAATTTCCAAAAAAAAAAAAAAGGAAAAAAAAAATTACGATGTGGCACAATCTTAAAGTCCAAACAACAGTATTCCGAAGAACAACAATGATTCATCCCACTAAAAACATCACCACTAATAGCACTAATGTATTAAAAAAATAAAAAAAATAAAAAAAAATTACAATTCCAAGACCAAAACATCACATCATTCATGACGAGACTCACTGCCACCTAATTAGTGGGAGCACTAGTTAGTGCTCCCAAGCAATTTTTCTCCGAAGAAACCTGCACCGAAAGGAATCCACTCTCTGTTGATTATTGATCATTTAATTTCCAAAAAGAAGGAAAAAAAAATTACGATGTGACACAATCTTAAAGTCCAAACAACAGTACTCAGAACATACCTGCACTGAGAGGAATCCATTCCCTGTTGATTATTGATTATTAAGTCTTGTTAATCAGGGCCCAATAAACATTGGTTAAGCTTCAAATACTATCCAAAAATTTTAGTTTTGGATTAAAAAGTTTCATTTGAAATAGGTTTTTAACTTTTTTTAATTTTTATGAGAGAAAAAATGAAATGATTATGGCTTGAATATGACATTTTGTCTTATTAATTTTTTTAGTCTATTTTATTTTTTAATGACTATTTTAATCCAAATAGCCTATGCCAAACATAGCCTAAAATATATAAAAAATGCCATAGATCCCAAATATTTTACCAATATTTCTACTAAATATTTTAAAACCCATACTATGTGAATCTCATGTAAGTCCTACATCCATATAAGACATTTGATAAAAATATTAATAAAATATTTAGAATTCATAACATTAGTCTTAAAATATATTGGACATATTCTTATATTATTTTAGTGGGGTGATTCATAACGGTATTGAATGTGTACCATTTAGGATTGTGCAAAATACCGTCCAATCCGTTAAAATCGTACCGATCCTCATCAATTCGTATCGCTCCAACCGCTAATCACAGTTTAAATTTTAAAATTTATAATTCGCCAACCGAATCGCTTCATTCCGCTATAGTTAATACATATATATTTTTTAACTTCCAATGAAATATCAATGTAAAAATGAGTGTGAGAGAGATTTAAGATATGAAATTTATTACAAGTTAGTGGTTATATATATAGAACATATTATGTAAAATTACTTTGTGTTATATATATAAAAAATATTATACAAATTAATGTTATATATTATGTAAATGTATGATAGTTAGTTAGAATATTCTTTAATCCGTCAAAAATCTCCTAAATCGTAATTTGTCAATTTACTAATTTATTAATTTATCATTCAATTTATAATTTTACTCTCAAATCGTTCGAACAGCACCGCACACGCCCTAGGACCATGTATGATAGGACTATATATATGCGACCCTAACCGCCCTACAAGCATAGATAGAATCAAAACACATCTTCTTTTCAAGTACAAAGCGAAAAGAAAGCTTCACAAACCGCCCAATCCATTCCCTCACCAAGTCACAACACCACCACCACTCTGTTTCATAAACGTCTATTCTTCTTATTCTTCTTCTTCTTCTTCTTTGCAGAGCAGAGTCAATTAAAAATCCCGTCTTGAATGGTAGAGACCGTCTTCACTTTCATGCTTTCTTCTTCCTCCTCTGCGCGTACGCAACCCGCGCAGCTCTATTCCACTCATTCGATTCTCTCTCTCTCTCTTCTTCTCTCCTCTCTCTCTTCCTCTTTCGGTTCTTGCAAACAAGCCTGGTACTATCGCTGCCTCGGCCTCGACCCCTAAATCATATCACCAGTCAGATCATCTTTATCGACCCTTTTGTCTTTTCGTTGGGTATAAGTGAAAAAAACCCCAAAAACAAAAAACAAAAAAAACCCAAAAACAAAAGTTCAAAAAAATAAAAAATGAAGAGGAGTGTATCTGAGAAATTGCTGTCCCAGAAGCAGAAGAAGAAGAGTGAATCTGAGAAATTGCTGTCACAGAAACAGAAGAAGAAGAATGAAGAGAGTCAGAGTGGGAAGAAGAATCGATTCTTGATCACTGTCAATGTTCTTGGAAGCGCTGGACCCATCAGATTCGTGGTGAATGAGGAAGACAATGTTGCTACTGTTATTGATACTGCTTTGAAATTGTATGCCCGTGAAGGCCGCCTTCCTGTTCTTGGTTCCGACATCACTAATTTCCTCCTTTATCCTGCCAATGCTGGATCCGATGGTATTCAAACTCACCCATTTCTCAGTTTTGATCTTCTCTTCCTTTTTATGCCTACCCATTTGAGAATGTTTTACTTTTGTATTGAAGTTTTGGACTTTTATTAGTTATCCCTAGGTCTACTACCCTAACCAATATCCAAGTTCTGAGTTCTGATTAATGCAAAAGTAGATGTCTTACTTTGTTTTAGGATTGGATTAAAGGCTAGTTACTACATATATATATTTGTAGCTTTATTATGGTAGTTTTGTGATCTTTTTGAAAGATACACATTAGTGAGATTGTGTGTGAGATACTTGGTGTAACTCATTTATTCTGATATTGGCAAAAAATGCAGTGAATCCATGGATGCAGCCCTTTGATTTGGGTAAACGACTCTAATCTCTTGTGTTGCTTGAATGTGCTTTTGAACTTTTTCTTCTTCTCCATCTCTAGATTCGTTGTAACAGTGGTTGTTTGCTCATGTCGTGGATATTGGAATTGTTTCTATATACCATAACACTTCGCACATATCCACCTGTGAATTTTGAGGTTTTGTGAATTATAATTTGAAGGGTTTTTGAATTTTCTGCAGCTCTGAATCCATCAGAGGCGGTAGGTTCAAGTGGAGGAAGGAATTTTGTGCTGTGCAAGAACCAGAAGCAACCACAGATGACAGAAGGTAGGGCAGAGATGATTGCTGGGAAGGGAAGGGGAAGTGGAAGTTGGAAGGCATGGCTGAATAGGTCCTTTACCTTCAAGATATCATCTCATTAAATTATATATATGCTTGGTATTGTAAGGTCAGTTGTGTTACTGATTCCTTTTAGTGTCCTTGTGTTCAGGTGTGTTCTCTGTATTATTATGATTATGATTGTGATTGTGATCACATATGATCTTCTATTGACCTTTATGCCATATTGTATGAACAATATGTTTTACATGAATAAAGTCAGTAGTTTGTCTTACAATTATTTGAAGCGCAATGGGATCACCTTGTCTGGCATATTTTTCTTCTCTTTTTCTTTTTTTTTTTTTGGGGATATTTTATAATTTTTTATTTGCCAAAAATATTTTACAATTAATGTCGCATATTATTTCGGGATTAGGGAGGGGGGGGTGTGGTGGCGGCAAGTAAGAAATTTTGTTACCATAAAGAAATGAAGAGCTAAGCCAAAGAGGCAAAGCCTTGAACAACCCAATATGCTAAGAACAACAATCAAAAAATTAAAAACTTCTCCCTAGCAAGCTTTAGTCTGCAAATCTTTTGTTCTAGATTCTTCTGGTTTTCATTCCGCGATGATGGTATGTTACACGGACTCTTCAAAATAAATAAAATACCCATGTCGGACACCCGACACTCAGACAAGGATATGAGATACGTGTTGGATACTTTTCAACGGACGCTTCTTATATAATTGTATATAATATAACACTATTATTATATGTACATATTGTTGTATAATTGCTAGGAATATCTTTTTGACACTGTTAGTTACATATAGCACTATTTTATCTCACATACCTTATTAAAAATATAATTTTTTTTGTCGAGTCCACGTACTCTTAAATTTTATGATTTGACAAGTCCGACATTTAGATACATACTTGCACCCAACATCCAAACCCGAGTCCATGTAACATAGGCTACTATTATTTCCCTTTAACTCCGTCTTCTGATGCATTGAATGGGGATCAAGAGGGGTAAATTAGGTACGAACTTAACTTTTGAAATTATTTGCGCAAAGCCTTCGAACTGACAATTTACCCTCTCATCGACTTGGCCCACATCCTTACATTGTAAAGGTTTCTCTCTTTAGACTTTTTGATATATTTTTTTTTGTTGCTTTTACTTTTTTGATTTTGAAAGTGATAAGTGATATATGGGCAGAGCATATTCTAGTATATATATTGGCTTGGCTAGGGCACATGGAGAGAACTACCTAAGGAAGGTGGGAGATTAAAGAGGTGTGTCCTGTGTTATTGCTTTGCTTTTGCTTAATTGGAGAATAAGGACAAGACTTTCTCAAAGTAGAGGCTCATGTTTAAAGAGTGGTCCAATGAATATATAAATTATTCTTTAATAACAAAAATCTGAGTTGCTTTTATTTGATTAGTTGGATACTTAGGGTTGAGGTTTCAGCAGTATAAATTTGTTCACACGCTTTGAGAGAGAGTGTACGAGTGTGTGAACAAAATGCAAAATTAATTCGTTTGTGTTGATTGGTTTAAAACATGAATCTCATATTACATTAAAAAAGTGTATTGATTCTGCATATATTTTGAATTGAGATTTTAGTTATGTCCTACTGCTGCTGTATAATGATTTATTTTAAACCCTTAATTTTAGGCATTCAAAGTATCTATATTTTAAATTCATCAAAAATGGTGGGGGGCAATGCTGACTTCACATCCATGTTTAGTTTAGTCCATAATGATATATTTAACTGCTTATAATCAATCAAAGCATCTATTTTAATTATTTGTCAACTATGGTGCGGCTATGGTGACTTTTTATATCCATGGTTGGATAATTAGTGGATTCATTGCATAAAGTCTGTTCAGCTTAGTAGGGCACAACCCAGGTAGGTAATATGCCTTCAATCTATGAGACACTTGCAGGAAGTTTTCAAAGAAATTTTATGGGTAAAGACTACCAATAAATTATGATGGCACTTTTTCTAATTTCTTTTGAATTTTATTTTGTTCTCTCTAATTTTACATGTCGTTTGTTTTCGTTTAAAATGTTAATAACACATGACGAAAGGATCATATTACAACAAAATTGAAAATACTGAGTTCAAATTATTCAATTTGAAATTATTTTGACTAAAGTAAATTTCACTCAAACTAGAAGGACTAATGATGTAATTACCCAAAATTTATTCCAATTTGGGAAAAGATTTAATGTGACACAACCAATGAATGACATATCAAAGATAATTTTACAAGTGAAATAATATTGATCTACATTTATTTTTTATAAAATAAATGAGAGATAGAAGATGACCCGTCATATTTTATAATTTTTTATTTGCCAAAAATATTTTACAATTAATGTCGCATATTATTTCGGGATTAGGGAATAATTTTTTGTGAATTTGTACAGCAGTGAGAGAGAAAGGGTGAATGTGTCACAATTGCTGTTTTTAGACTAGGAGCTTTGACATGAGTGGCTCTTGTTTCTTTCTTTTTTTTTTCCTTTTCGTTTTAGTGTACGCTCTCTGCTTGAAAGTTTTTTTATTTTTTATTTTAATGATCGGATATCTGAATCAGTTTATGTGCGTCTCAACTAATTTCAAAATTCATGCAAAGCGTGTGAATTGAACAAATTTCAAGTAGAGCCCGTAGGCATAACCCTAAGAAGTTGATAATATCTAGTAAGAGTTGAACTTGAACTTTGAAGGAATACACTTCTAGGCCCCAAACTACACCCACTAAACCAATTTTTTTGGAGTTTTCTGCTTAAAGTTATAGATTACAATAGACGTTTTCTTTTTTTAAAGACCCAAATAATAATGGGAAAATTACATCCCAATGATGACAGGGGGGAAAAAAATACATATTCATAAAAAAAAAAAATTACAATTTTAATTATTAATATTTATAAACTTTGTTATTTATTTATAATTATTTTTTCTAAAATTCACTGATGTAATACTTTCCCAATAATAATTCAAAGATACAACTTCTAAAAAAACAAAAAAGTACAACTTCTTTTCAGTTGAGAGAAGAAAGAAAAAAACTTGCTGGATCCATCATTGGGTCTATATTGGTTATATGTGTCATTTTCTTTTAGATATTTGTAAAATAAAATTAATTTTGTGATTGTCCTCACATGATTTTATCAATTTTATCTTCTAAAAATTAGACATAAGGTATAGCTTTAAAAACACACTATCCGTCATTTTTAAGAACAATTTGATGGAACCTTGTGGCCATTATTATTCCATAAAATTAATTTTTTTCATAAATGGTTTACATACTAATACCTAAAATATGAATAGCTCAAATTCGCAACTTGTAATTACTCCTCTCCTACTAGGATTTTCAATAGGGGTTAGAAGGAGAAGGTGGAGCTATAAGTGATGATGGAGAGAGTGAATGACGAAGTGGGTGAGGGGATGGAGAGAGGGATGGCGACGGTGATAAGCAATGAAGTTAGGATTAAGCTTAGGGTATGAGTTTAGTAAAGATAGAGGCAAAAGATAAGACTAGAAAAGAAGGAAGCTATCATGATTTATAGCGGCGGAGACAAAATTGAGAAGAAGGAAAATGGGGCGATGAAAGAGAGAGGAGGTCGTGGCTTGTGGTGCTGTTGTGGTGTGTACTGAGATAACTAGTTGTTTGTATTGAGAGATTAGATTTTAGTGTTGTGTCCAAAAAAATAATTTATTTGATAGACATAATTATTGTTAAAAACAATCAAAAAGTGGTGTACACTAAAACATGTAATTGTTGCTTTGACTAGAGCTAGCCCAATAGCTGTTATTGTTATTATACCCAAAAAGTTTGGAAGCAGCTATGTGGCCCAACGTTTAATGGGCCCAATAATTTTTGACAAGTTTGTTGACAAAAGTTGACGAAAAGGTTGTTTTATTATTTTGGGCAACATTTGTTCGGCCTAAAAAAGTTTGACAACAGCGGACAAAAAGTTTGGAAGCAGCTATTGGGCACCTGTTAGTATCACATATAAACAATTTTTTATAATTTTAACTTTGTAAATTATTAGTTTAAAATAAATTATAAATTTGTTTGGTTCAATTTTTGATAATTTGTGGGGAAAAAAAAATTCACATAGATTTTTTTGTTCTGCAAATATCTTAAATGCCCTCAAAAGTTATAATTAAAAAAAAAAAATGTATGACTGTTTAATCCACAAGTATTTAAGGGTTTCAACTACGCTAAATTGTAACTTAAAAAAATCTCACTTCAAATGGTTAAATAAACTGAAAATATAAAATAAGTTATAATTTAAAATTGCAACCAAACACTACTAGGCACTAGCCAATTTTCTTTTTTATTTTTTATTTTTAAGAAAATGAGCTAAATAAATTGACTTGTAAATGTACCAAACAGGGTCATTCTTGCTTTGGTCAGAAATTATCAATAGATCCAGAATATTTCATAGTTGTGTGATCAACCATGTTTCATGATTTGTCCATTTTATTTTATAATTTTTTTGATCATGTAAATAAATAGCATTTTATTATTAGGTGAACACATAATCAATGTAGTGTTATAAGAAGACAAATAATTAATCCGGGTTGACAAAATATTCTTTGAAAAATTATTGCCCAAAGTATACAAAATAATTATCCCATTTGACAAAATTATTGCCCCTCCCTTTGATGTATCTAATGTTCTTGCCATAACTATTGAGTCACAGGGTTGTTTTGTTTTGTTTGTTTTTTTTTTTTTTGGCTTTTCTTTTGTTCATATTCGGATTGGAGGGAATATTTCGGTCTCTCAAATTGTGTCATATTAGAATAGTTCACTAAATTAAACATTGTGGGAGGGGCTATCAATATCTAATGTTCTTGCCATAACTATTGAGTCGCAGGGGTTTTTTTCCTTTTTTATTTTTTTTTTGAGGGGGGGTTACGGAGGGGCTATATATCAACATTATTTTGTATGAACATTATTATTCAGACTAAAAAAATTAGACCTATCACTTTTTCTATATGCAAACCCCGTCTGACCAAACTAGATGACTTTCGATTCTTGAGCATATTGGGGGATTAGGCTTTATTTGGTAATATCATTTTTTAGTTTAAAAGTCAAAAAATTATTAAAAAAATTAAAAAGTCAATAACCTATATAAATAAGTTCAAGATTTCATATTTTCTCTATTTTTACACATCTTTTCGTAAAAAATAAAAAAATCATCTAAAACATACTAACATTTTTTTTTACATTATATTTTAGTCAAAAAATTAAAAAATTACTAAAAAAATATGTTCTCAAACGAGGC